CAGGAATGAATTTTGAAATTTGGGCCCAGATTTGGCTCTTTAACTCACATCCTCTAGTACTTCCCTGGAGTAAAAGTGATGTGCGTATTGGATTTAGGATTTCTTTTTGGCTTGGCTCAAGAGAAACCACAGCAAAATTCAAGGGAGATAGATAGAGAACATTTTGGAGGATGTGAGAATATAATGAAGGATCCAGTGCAAAAGACTTCCTGCATAATGAAAGACAGCTCTCAATAAGAACTGTGCTTCTGTTTAATAAAAGAAAGACCTACCCGGTCATCCATTGAAATGGGTCTCTGAATGAGCTTGTTGCCTCCTGACTACGCAGGTCACATCACCCTCTGGTGCAAAGGTGCAATCTCACCCTGCTTTTACTGCAGCAGTTCTCAGGGTGGGCAGGTGGTGTCCCCTGTTCCTCATGTCCCCTTTTTGTCATACAGATAGCTGTGCTTTCTCCTTTTCCCTCATCTGAAGTGTATCAGGACCAAGGAGGAAACAAAGGCTCATCTCAGTTCCCCAGGCCTAACTTTGCAGAAGCCTGTCATCTTGGGCATTGCTCAGAAGAACAGGCAAGATGTTTTCCTCCCCAACACTTCAGACCCTGCTCCTGTGGTGCTGGGGGCTGACAAATCAGCAATGGTTACAATGTGGAAAGCAGAGCAACAGGCAGGCACCGAGGTGGTATAGGTCTCAGTTATTCACAGCATTTTGCAGCCCAAACTGCAGGACTCAAAAGATGAGAGAAGCATAGGGTGAGATATGCATGGTTTGTGTGACCAGGAGAGAGTCACTGTGAGAGAATTGAAGGGAACAATCCATCAAAGGCAGCCACTAACAGAAGCATGGAGGAAACCTGAGATCTTGTTCAGAAAAGGGATAGCTCAGCCCACTGGAGTTTTTGGAGTAGGGATATTCCTCAGTGCTCTTTGACTGCAGTGGTAATGATAAACTATTAGTAGTAAGCTTCCTTTTGCACGCTTTTCATTTCCAACAGGAGTAGCATTTCCAAACAGGATCAACTCTCCTCTTATTACCCCTACAGTGCAAGTGGACAAAATGAAAAGGCCACTCATCTCAAAATTGGACAGAAAAAGAACCAGGTGTAGAGCTACCATTCACGACCTGCTGCTGGTCTCACAGCAAGGAACAGGTATTTCTCTTCTTCGGCCTCTTATTATTTCCCAGAACGCATCAGAAGTGCTTTATCTGGATGGAGTAAGACCCCAGTCACAGAGTTTCCCAGTCACAAAACCTCCCAGCATCACTACTTCTACCACCTGGCAGTGCTGAGCTCCTGCTGGATGATCACAAGCCCTCTGAGGAGAAAATGAAATGAAAGGGCTGCTGATATTAAGGAGGAAATACACTGCTGGGAGATGCATTGGGAGGTGCCAGATAGGGAGTGGGAATGGTGAAGTTCCTGAGGAGCAGGGATGGAGGGGACATAGAGGATGGGGTGCTTGCTGGTGCAGCCGGAGACAGAGCAGGCTCGCAACTCCTTCACAGTGTGGGGAGGAGGGGAAGAGGTTTCCACACTTACTCTAGGACATCCCTGTTGAACTGCTTCTTGCTGTTGCCCAGGAACTCCCCAATCATCTGGCGGCTGAGGCCCTTCCGCTGGAGCAGGAAGTGTGCCACCCCAATGGGGGTATCTGGGATGAAGCCTCGGGAGATCAGGAACTGGATCCCTTTGTCTGGGTTTCTGAAAGGGAAGGACAGAGACATATATGGTGAGTTCATATATGTATGGCAGGAATAGGACTGATGTGGGCAGGGAGAAGTGACTTGAGGGAGTCCCCCCAGTTGCTGCTGAAGACAAAAGGATGCCATGGGATGCTGTGTCAGTTGCAGTACCTGCTGTCACCTGGCAATCACAAGTGTCATCCTACTGCCACAAAGGATCCTGCTGCACAATACCAACCTCATCTTCCGCCATCAGTCTTCTTCGGAGTCAAAGACTCTTGTTCTTTCCCTGCCCCAGCGTGGTTTGCTTAGTGTTCCTGTAAGGACATGATTAGACTGTATCCCCCACACAGCACAGGAAATACCAGTACATTCAGCTCCTCCAAATGCAACCCACAGTGAGCTGTCTCCAAAGACCAGGGGTGAGAGCCTCTTGCTTTTAGGGGAGCTGGGGTTGCACCTTCAGTAGGGCAGACAAAGCCAAGGGAAAAACGTGGCTGCGAAGAGACTTAGGAGACATTACTGCCATGGTCTATGGACAAATGAGGTTCAAGACACAAAGAGGGATAAACAGAGGTGGGCACTTTTTCTATGAAAAAAATACAATCTCGTTTTCACAGATTTTTAGTGCTCAGTGTTGAGTGGCACTTTCTACCTTCTTTACCTGAGCATGGTGCTGGTTGCCTGAACAGAAACCCCATGCTCAGATTTGCTTATTTCTTCCTCCACTTCCCTTACCCTTAGCTGTGTGTGGATGAGACCAGGCATCTGAAGAATGCCTTGTCAGAGCTGGGAGCAGCCAGAGGGGATTTCTCCCTCTGTGGCTGTGGGTGCCTCTCTGAGAACAGGCTGGTGCTGAGTGGGCCTGACTGCCTGGTTGTGGGAGTGATTTTCTGCCTGTTACTGTGCGAGTGGCTCTGCAGCTTTTGGAGGGTAGTACATGTCTCAATAGGCACACGTATATGTATATCTATGTCTTGTACATACAGACTTCTCTTGCACCATACACATTCATTAGAGCCTGTGTGTCTGCATATTTTAGCTTCCTCCTCATGTCTCCTACAAGCACACATGGTTCTGTGTATCCTGGCAGTGGCTGTGAGCCTCTGTGGTGGTGCCTGTCCCACATTACAGACAGGAATGAGTGTGTACGTGTGTATGGTGTAGCAGGTTTTCTTCCTATATTTCAGTCTGCCCCACTGAAGGGTGTCATGATGCGCTCTTGTGGAAGGGAATCGGTGAAATGCCAGGAAGATTTCCACATTCCTTTGGTTCTCTGAGCTGGTGAGTGGGAGACGTGAGAGGGTAGCTTCTTCATTCCATACTTCATCAACCCAAATTCAGCAATCTATGTCAAGGCTCAAGGAGTGAGCTTGCTCAAGCAGTTTCCTGGGGTTAGGAAAGGAAAGGATGAGATCTCAGAGCACGTGAATGCATGATATGCACAGGCACAGACTGTGACACTGTCAGGTGGTAAAGGATGTGGGTGAGCAACATATGTCTAGCTATAAGGGAATTAGCATTCAGAATGGCCTGCTCACTGCAGGGGCTTCATGGCTATATAAAAAGTAGATGGGCTTGAAATAGTCCTGCTTACTCCGTAATGGCACAAATTAAACATCCTGGGCAGTGTGGCATCCCTGGGGAGAGTGGCTAGGAGAACACGCCAACCCACTAAATTTAAGAACAGGAGAGTTGCAAGATCTGATATTGAAAAACCCAGGCCTTCCCCAGGGAAAAGCAACAGTTCACCTTCTGTATTATCACATAGATCTGGTTCACCTTTGAAGAGCACAAGCAAAGTTACCTAAGTGCAATGGTCATATGGTCAGGACTGAAGTCAAGCTAAGCAACAGAGATTCATAAAATGCACCTCCACCTGCACACTTAGGTGTCTGGCAAAGGATAGTTTGGTGTTCACAGGATGAGGACGTTAGGATGGTAGGATGTTAGCTACTTCAAAGCTACTCAGTGACCCCAAAGCCACTGGACTGACTTTGCATTCACTCCAGAGGAGCTGGAAGCTGAATATGGCCAGAAAAATGCAGCTCACATACTAGCATAGATGTGCAGATTTCAGTAGAGATGGCACACACAGTGCAAGAAGATGTAGGCTAAAACAGTCCAGCTGTGACAGCCCTCCTGCACTGCCTATACTGTAACTCAAACATACTTGCATACACTATTCTTCCACTAACAGTAGCCTTTCATCAGTTTTTCCTGGGATTCAGTTTGTTCTCCACAAACCCCTGACAAGCAGTGCAGCATCTCTGCCTCTGAACGCCTGCAGAGGTATCCCATGTACCGCAGCATGCAGCTTTTACCCAGATGTGCAGCAGCAAACTCTGCTTCCATCTCTCCTGAGCCTCGTGCCTGTTATTTTGTTTAATGCTGCAGGGGTGTTAAGCACCGCCAGCAAATGCTATGGGATTCCTCACGTCCTGCTGGCTTTCCCTATGCCCACGCAGCCAGCTGTCCACACACTGAGTTATTACAGCAGCACTGCATAATGAAGCACTCTCCATTCCAGGGATTCCACCCCCTCAGTGTGGAACGGAGATGGGGAAACTGCCACAGCAGCACAGCATCCATGCATTCCCAGGGGGCTGCTCCGAGCCAGAGAGCTGCTTTCTGAAGCAGCTCCTCCAGGCAATGCAAAGGCAGATAGACTATGGCAGACGGTGACAGCAACTGCAGGCTTCACCTCTTGGTCCAGGGGAGCAGTCGGCAAAAAGGATGCCTACACACAGAGGCATGGCCTCAGCTCCATGCCCTGTGGGTTGGTGCCCACAACACAAACCCTGTAACAGTAAACTGGCTCCTTGCTAGAAATTGATAGGGAAACCAACAGCCAAATAACTTCAGAAAGCTGAGTGGCCTTCCCAGCCCCTTGGATGGAGGTGCACTACAGTGTCACAAGGGGAGCCATGTGTCCCTTAGATCCCGGTCAGAGAATAATAAAACCCAGCCTTCATTCCCCAGAGCTAACAGGTCAGCTCCCTCCCTCCCTGTCCTCCAATGTTTTGTCAAGAAAACTGAGCCTTACAGGTTACCACGCACTATTTCAGCAGCTAGTTTCAAGGGAGCAGGGGAGGCCTGGCTAGGAAACTGTGTTTCAGAGCTCTGCAATAAGTCTTCTATCCCACAGGGACCTGCAGGATGCAGTGAACCCAGGTCACTGAATGAAGGAGGATGGCAGAGCTGCTTCCCCAGAGCAGACCTGGTGCTGCTAATCTGTCACATGAATGTGTGCCAGGCAGACTGGGGGAGGAGGAGAGGCTGGGAAAAAGCATTCTCACTCCTGCTTTATCTTCACATCAATGCCCATGTCAACTGTGCAGGAACCAAAGGAAAACACATTGGCTGGAGGGACTCCTGCCAAGCACGGCTGAGAATACTGAAACAGTAGCAGAGGTGTGAGCCCCACGTCCCCCTCCACCTATCCTAACACAAACAATAGAACACATGTGTGGACCTGGAACTATCTCACAATCAATCCCCACCTGCGTCTGGTGGCTACCTTCTCTAGTTCCAGCCTGCTTGTGTTCATCTGGCAAATCTGTGTGTGCCCAGAGCCTGACTTTGGGATGTACACATGGACTCACTGTTCACAACCTGATCTCAGAGCTAGTAATATGTCCTCCTCAGTTCCGTAAGAGTCCCAGATCTGTCTGCTCTAACATCACTTCAGCTCCGAGCCCAGTCCTAAAAACCTCCATACATGTACTATGGAGGCTGTGGACTCCATGTTCCTGCCTCCTGGACTCCACAACCTCCATTCTACATGTATATAAATCATATGCATTGCTCCTTGTCTGTGCAAACTTCTAACTAGGACTGCATAATCTTTAGCCCTAGAAGCAAGAGAAGAATGTGGTAAACATTCTTCTAGTATGAGTTCATTACATTCCCAGCATCTTCATCAGGGAATGGAAACCAGAACAGCATGAGATGAGTGTGAGGTGATGAAGCAAAAACCAGTATTTCTCATGGCTTGCTTAGATGAGAAAAGTCTCACTGAAAGGCAATGAGCAAATCTAAAGCTCCTTAGAGGAGCTCAGCTGCTTTCTGCTAATCCAAAATAGACTCCGTGTGACCCCTCCAGTTAAACTATTCTCTGGACCGCTTTGCTTTTGCTTTTCATAGGATATCAGTCTCAGATGTGTGAGAGACTGAGATGACTAAACCTGGTCTGTCAGGTGAAAATCTACCCAGATACCAGAATAAAAATGACAGCCAGAGCACTCATACTGGGCTAGCTAAGCTCAGTTCTACCTCTGTCCCTCTCTCTTTACTTGGAAATGCCCCATGTAAAGCAACCAGGTCTGGGTTTACAGTGTCACCTATGCTTGTTCCTTTGCAACAGAGTGGGGCAGGATCCTAGATCCCAGGCTCAGCTGGTGGATGCCAAATGGACAGCAACTGAGACTGAAGGTTCAGAACTCAGGAGAGCATGAGTACTACTCATGGGGTGGTGGGCTTGTTCCTCTGTTGGGCAGAAGATCAGGACAGTAGTTGATGGACTTAAGGAAAAAGCTGGATGAGCTATGTGGATCTAAACCAAGAGGCTGCCATCACCTGTTCCTGTGAGGGGGGAAATAGGCTGGGAAACACAAAGGAGGAAAAGTCACTTACATGTTAAAGAGGTTGAGCCCAATGCGGTAGAGGCGCTTCCTCATGGTGTCTGTGGAAAGTGTGGGAGACTTGCAGCTAGCTGGGTTCTCGCAGTGGTACCTCGGGAGGCTGAGGATCATGGCCTGCAGTGCTTCTTTGGAGGACACCTCTGAGGCTGATTTGGCTGAAGTGGAGGTGCTGCTGCTGCTCAGCTGCTCTGAGTTGTCTGCATTCTCAGACTCAGAGCCTTTGCTTTGCCCTGTCTCATTGCTAGCATCAAACTGGAGCTTCTGCACTGTCATCTGTCCAGGCTCACCACTGCTGTCTCCCGTGCCATTAGCATTGACATTCACCTCGGTGAAAGTGTGGCTGTTCTGGAGAGCTGTGGACTCAGGTAAGCTCTCTGGGGCAGCCGGTGGTTCGCTGGCTTCTCCCTCCCCTTCTCCCGGGCTTTCTTCAGCCTTGGTAGCTTGAGAGAGCCCAGCTTGGGCATTGTTGCTGAGGCAGTTTGCCATGGACACCGAGGTAGATGATGAGACAGAGATGTTCTTGTTGTCGATCTGGACTGTGACATCTCGAAAAGCCATCATGAGAGTGCTGCTGCTCTTGGGTAGGGTGTCTGGCAGGAGCCCTTCCTCCTTCTCCTTGTCTTGCAGCTCGGCTTCTAAGTCTTGGTTTGGCTGCACTGAGCTAGCACTGAAGGTCTCCCTTATCTGGTATGACCCCCCATCTTGCAGTGAACACATGGTCTTCAGGCTCCAAGTGCTGAGGGCATCGTCAATAGACTTGGCCAGGGACTGAACTTGTTCTGTGAAGGAGTCCTCCAGCTCGGTCAGCGCCCCACTGATGGTGGCTGGCAGAGATGGGGACCTCACCAATGGGATGCCCACAAAGTTGTACCCCTCCACCAGGGCTTTCTCAGCAGAGAAGCTCTCTGAGTTCTGGACCCGGACTTTCCTCAGGGAGATGCGGCGTGGCATGCGGCTCTCTAGCAGTGAGTTGCGGATCTTCTCAAAGTTCTTGCTGAGCTGGTACTGCCGGAAGGCAGTTTGGATGGTGCAGGCTGCCCTGCGAGACACCAGGTGACCGCCGTACTTGTGCTCTAGCATTTCGATCTGGAAGACATAGAAACAGGAGATGTTATTTCTTTTGCTTATTGACTTCTGATGGCTTTCTGTTACCCTGGTTCCTACACTGGTGAGTCTGTAATGACTGTCAGAGGAACTTCTAACATTGAATTAGCTTTCCCGTGCTCTGCTGGAGCCTGGACGTGCCCTTCCCTTGCAGATGCACTTCTGACAGTCATTAGGGCAAGCTCATCACTGCAAATACAGTGTTCCAGCAATGTGTCTTCCCGCTCAGCAGTGCTCTGGTGATGTCAAGCATCATTCCTTATCTCCGAGTGTTACTAATGCTCCTCCTCTCCTTAGTCACCTTAGGAAATACTCTCACAGAAAGGAGAAAGCATACAGAAATAGGAAAGAAATGTTAATTTTTAAATTCAGAAAATGCTGGGTTGATCATAGTAGTAGTGAGGAACATTAGCTTCCATAGAAGTCAGTGGGAGCTGGGTTTGTTCAGTGTCTTTTAAAAAGCACTCTGAATCCCAAAGTGTCTTCCTTTCTGATTTCAGAGTTTTTCAGGTGTCAGCCAGCAGTGAAATGAAAACTACTCAAGAAAAGAAAGACTCTCAGTTTTGAAAGGTAAAAAATTCTGATTTTAAAGGTTGAGTCAAGATATTAAGAACAGGTAGAAGTAGGATTTACTTCTTCCCAAGCTGGAAACAACAAACAGATGTAAATACATACACACACAGCTAAATGGCATCTCAATAGGCTTCAACAAAACAAGTATGTATTGTAATTTCTATTCCATAGATTAGTGTTTGTGCTTCCTGGTAATCCCCTAACTCTTCCCCTGCAGCTGGGCGTTCACTATCATCCTACAGGATAATGTTAGATGGCTTGGTTCCAGTAAGTGACTGATGGAGGACAAGTGGGACAGTGTGAAGATGATGGTGGATGATGGGATTGAAGAAAGCATAAGGATGATCTCGAACTACCTTCACTGAGGTTTTGACTGAACTATGAGCTAACCTCTACATTGTGGTTTGGCACTTCACAGGTGCAGACTGTAGTGTTTATGTGTGTGTGTGCGCAAATGTGCAAATAGAAAAAAAGGGGAGTGCAGGACTGAGAGTGCTGTAAAATCAGCTCTGAATTAACAGAGGATTCACTACATCATTCATGTGGTGAGTATGAGCTCATTAACAGATCCAAAGGGTGAGTCTTACTGACTGCATTCTTATCCCCAGGCACTTGCCCCTCACCATGCCTTGCTGGCCCAGTACTCACAGGATGAAGAACTGAACTCATGGAAGATCTGACTTTAAGTGCAAACTGCTTATGAAGTCAAAGCAAGACTGAGGCATAAGCCTCAGCTTGCAGAGTCCTATCATCTGCTCCCTTCTTGTTTTCCTTTTTTGTAATACTATATAAGTTGCAGGTAAGACCATCAGTGAGTGATCTAGGTACAAGAAGGCCTGGAATGACAGCTGTAAGAAGTGTAAATCACGTTTGGCATCTTTCCAACACTAACTCCTCTGGGGAAGAAAATATGACCCTGGGAGATGACAGAAAGAGAGGAACAACATGACCCCAGGTGTTCTGTCCCTGCACTGGTATCCTGGCTGCTGGAGTAAGTACTGCAGACCATTTCTACTGGCACCCCATAACCCCAGGCAGCAACAGGTCTAGGGTTCCTGCTGCTCTTGACGGGAGACTGCCATTTCTGGAAGGGAGTGGGGCTCAGGGCACATCCTTTCATAATTTCCTCTCTGGGAATGAAGAGTGGAACCTTTGTGTGTGCTCAAATGGAAAGCTTTTGTCTTCTGTTTTCCTTGCCTCTGAATTCACATCTATCCAAAGTAAGCATCAAGCCCAGCACTGAGAAATACTAGTAATTAGCTTAGCAGTGGGGTTGGCCACTGCAGTTGTAGAGACAGCTGACTCAGAGTTCTCCTGTCCTGGTTTCAGCCAGGATACAGTTAATTTTCTTCCTCGTAGTTGGTGCAGTGCTGTGTTTTGGATTTAGTCTGAGAACAATGTTGGTAACACACTGGTGGTTTAGTTGTTGCTAAGTTGCTTACTCAAGAACTTCCCAGTTTCCCATGTTCTGCCTGTGAGGAGGGGCACAAGAAGCCAGGAGGGAGCTGAGACAGGACACCTGACCCAAACTAGCCAAAGGGACATTATATTCCATGGAATATCATGCTTAGCTGCCAATCGCTGCTCAGGTACAGGATAGGCATCAGTCAGTGGGTAGTGACCAATCCTATTGTGCATTACTTTTATTCCTCTCGTTCCCTCTCCTTTTCTTCTTCTTGTTCATCACCATCAGCACCAACACCATCATCATTATTTACTTATTTCTATTATTAAGCTGTTCTTATCTGAGCCCACAGGTTTTACTTTTTCCAATTCTACTCCCCATCCGACCAATGGAAGCAGGGAGAGAGCGAGTGGCTGTGTGGTACCTTGTTGCCAGCTGGGGTTAAACCATGACATCTGCTTACCCTTAGTTTAAAAAACGTTGTCCTAATACTTGCCCTGCTGTCCTCCCAGAAAGAACTGATGTGGCAGCAAAGAGGAATATACGAATAAAAAGAGATTCTGGGTAGCAAGCAGAAGGGCTTTGCTGGGGTTCTTTGTCCTTTCCATAACAACCATCTTAAATCCTACCATAAAACCAGCACTCCTGCCACATCTCTTCTAGTTGGCCTCCCTGGAAAGAGACGGAGCTATCCCTTGTCCCTCTGCTTCAGGAGGAAATCTTATGCAGATAAGTGCAAATTAAACCAATAACCTACACAGGCCCAACCCAGATAGTTATTACTGACAACTGACCGTGAGCACTTAATATAATGGTCTGGTTAATGAAAATGTAGAGTGAAAGAGGAACAAATGGGAGGGACAGATACAGCCATCTGAGGGACAGAATAATAGTAAAATGCAAAATAAGGCAGAAGCAAAAGCCTTACAATTATCTGAGGTTTCCAAGGAGGTGACAGCCATTCTGAAAACATGAGATTCATATGCACTGATCTTATTAGAGGCAAAGACAAGATGTCATTGCTGATCTGAAGTAAAAGACCAGTTTATCTCATGCAAGGACAGTTCCCAAAAAAGCAGACTTTCAATAATCACCAAGAGGAGAGATCCTTCTAAAAGTCTAACAGAATGGTGCGAGCTGTCAGCACCTTGATAAAACAACACCAGCTTTTTGCAGCCCATTATCCCAGTCCTCCCAGAGGGCTAAAGCATCAAGGAGCAGAACAAAATGTAAAGTGAGAGGACTCCCAACCTAGTCTGTTCTCCATCTCATACCAGGTGTGCAAAGATGGGTTCTGCATGTGGTCCACTGCCATCCAGCCCTATCCAAAGCAAGGGGAGTCCTACAGTGCTTTGTAGCTGTAATAACAAGGACCGGGGACCAGTCCAAAGGATGTCTGAGAAGACTGGAAAAGCCAGAAGCAGCAGCCATAGAGAACTTCCCTCCCCACCCTTGCTTGGTAGGAGTGGGTTTCTGTCTCTCTCTTCTTGATGTAGCCCAGACGTTTACTGTTTACTGATGTCTGAGACATTCACATTTGCTATCAGGTCGAGCTAACTGACACTCCAGAGGAATTAAGGATTTCACAGTGCTGTGGCCTGTTTTCTTTCTCTTGAGAGGAGGAAAGGGCATCCATTAGCACCACAGCAGTCACAGGTAATGGAGATGTATGTCTGGCTTGCTGGAGGAACCTTCTCTTCCCATTTGAGAGGAGAGAAAGGCCAGACATGATTGGCCTTCTCTCACTCCTAATAAACTCTGTGAATCACAAGTAATTGCCTACTTAAAGCTACTCTTCTCTGGGGAATGATCTGACAGCTGGTGCCAAAGGAAGGGAAAAACAGGAGGGGGTCAGAGGGATTTCAAAGACTAATTAGCTTAATACATATCTGGGTCTCAACATGAACACTCAGACTGAGCAACTCAGACCTTGTGGCTGAATTAAAAATGGCTGGGAAATATCCATTGCCATGAGGTATTGCACATGAAGGGAGCTTTAACAAGGTCAGCCTAAGGCAAATCAAAGTGCCAGGCCTGGATATGGCCAAACATTTGAGGTACACACCCCATGGCTTTGTTGTCCATAGGCATAAATTCATAGATCTGCCAGGAGAGAATGGGCCTGATCTTATTCTCATTTAGCACTGGTTTTCCACCCAGGTTGCCACTCAGCATGGCGGCATGCCACCATGTTAGCAAAGAGAGGATCATGCTCAGTGACAGAATGTGAGTCACTCAAGTCAATGCATGAATTGTAAAAAACAACAAAAAGACATACAGAGCATACATGCTCTCTGTCACCCACTCTTAATGCCTCTGCCTCCCACCAACTTTTCACAATGGAAAGACATTGCTGTAAGACCCATGTGTTAATGGGGCATTTTCCTTCATCCATGGGACATCTAACTACACTTCAGCACAGCAGAAGAGTGTGCATGACTGAAAGCATGCTCCTCTCTCCTGTGATCCCCGAGAGTACAATAGAATCTAAACACAGGGGAATTTCAGCACTTGAGTTTCCTTTCCAGCCTTCCAGCATAGTGCACTTCCGCTCTGCACACTGTCAGCATGCTTTGTTTCATGGGATAGAGAGCAAGGAGAGCCATGACCCCACTCACCAACCATCTAGTGTGATGACCTGCACCTCCAAGCCCTGCAGAGGAGTCTGTAGGCTACTCTCCTTCCTCACCAGCACTCATTCATCTCCCGAAAGGTAAATGTGACTTCAATTGCACTTTAAGACTAAAAATGTCTCCTTCCACCTCCTTTTCTTACTGCAAATTCTATTAACGTATTACAATTTGTGCTATGACTAGGGAACTACTGGGACAGTGCTTGAGGGTCCTAGCACTTTTCACTCCCTGAAAATCTGTCCTTTCAGAGCTGGAGGCAATCCCCTGAGGATATCCATCAGGCTGGAGGAGAACGCACACTGTAAGCCCCCTTTGCTTTGAGAAAAGTGGTTTCACTTATGAGATAGGCTACGTCCCTGCAAGGT